GGAGGGGGAGACGAACCATGAGAGACTATGGACTCTGAAAAACAAACTGAGGGTTCTAGAGGGGAGGGGGTGGGAGGATGGGTCAGCCTGGTGATGGGTATTAAAGAGGGCACATTCTGCATGGAGCACTGGGTGTTATATGCAAACAATGAATCATGGAACACTACATCAAAAACTAGTGATGTCATGTATGGTGATTAACATAACATAATAAAAAAAAAAGTAACCATTCCTTTGCAACATGTTAAAATCACCCACCCCTATTGAAAAATGATATTTTAGTTAATTTTCTACCATTTTTTGTTTCATTCCCATGACTCTGAAATATAATAAAATACTAAGGGTTGCATAAATTAAAGATATAAGCATAAATATATATATATATACACACACACACATATATACACAATACAAAGTTCACAGGAAAAATTTTAAATAGTAAATATGCATAAAGTTTGAAATCTCTGAGGTAGTGATAATATGGACATTATATGAATACAAAAGGCCTGGGATCCTTCACTTTCTGAAATATTAATTGCTACCTCTCTCACAACTAAATGAGCTAGGTTGATATTAATTTTCTCTAGAAATATTCACCTTAATTCAAAGTTGAACTGGAATTCCTTGATTATTTCTTTGAGAAGGTATCTTCTCTAATTTGATGTATGCAAGTATCTTTTTTTTTTGAGCATGTGCACTAACATTTTAATTTTTTTAGCTTTATTTTTTTTTAATTTTATTATGTTATGTTAATCACCATACATTACATCATTAGTTTTTGATGTAGAGTTTCATGATTCATTTATTGCGTATAATACCCAGTGCTCCATTCAATACATGCCCTCTTTAATATCCATTACCAGGCTAACCCATCCCCCCACCCCCCTCTCCTCTAAAACCCTCACTTTGTGTCTCAGAGTCCATAGTCTCTCATGGCTCGTCTCTCCCTCCAATTTCTCCCCTTCATTTTTCTCTTCCTACTATCTTCTTTTTTTTTTTTTTAACAAATAATGTATTATTTGTTTCAGAGGTACAGGTCTGTGATTCAACAGTCTTACACAATTCACAGCGCTCACCAGAGCATATACCCTCCCCAATGCAAGTATCTTATTTTTAACAGTATAAGCAGTTTATCTTCATATTGAGACCTAAAGTTAGAACAGTCAGCAGCAGGTAAAACTCATCTCCAGTATTATAAGTGGGGCTACTAGTTACCTTCGGAAAAGAAGGACAGTAGTGACTGTAAGAGAAGTGAAGGGAATCCAGGAGTGCTGGGGGTTTCCCATTTCTTCACCTGGGTCTTGATTTCACAGATGTGGTCCCATTGCAATATTTTGCTCTATATGCGTGTGTGTATGTGGCATTTCATTCTGTATGTACGTATCATTTTTCAATTTTCATTACGTATATAATAATTTCAAAAGCTTATTTTAAACGGTAAGTGAGGGGCGCCTGGGTGGCTCAGTCGTTGAGCATCTGCCTTCGGCTCAGGTCGTGATCCCAGGGTCCTGGGATCGAGCCCCGCATCGGGCTCCCTGCTCTGTGGGAAGCCTGTTTCTCCCTCTCCCACTCCCTCTGCTTGTGTTCCCTCTTTCGCTGTGTCTCTGTCAAATAAATAAATAAAATCTTTAAAAAAAAATTTAAAAAAAAAAATGGTAAGTGACCCTCAGTTATGCTTTTTAAGTTTTAACAATTAAGAATCAGAAGTCAAATAAGTACCTTCCTGATTTAGAGACTACTTGAATTAAATATTTGTAAAATTATTTTTGTCCAATACAAATGCACAAAATACAATCTCTGGCTTAAAAGATCCAAATAAAAAACAGACACTAATAACTGTATTTGGGTCCAAAACAAATGGAGAAAATATCTGGGTGCAATAGAAATGTAGAACAACAGATTACATCTAATTTGTTGATTCAACTACATCAATAACTTTGGATTTCTTCCACTACCAAACATTAAGCATCAGGAAAATGACACCTTAAGAGAAATCTCAAGTCAAAATAATTTTTTAAAATTATGGCACAGATGGGGGCCTGGGTGGTTCAATTGGTTAAGCATCTGCCTTCGGCTCAGATCATGATTTCAGGGTCCTGGGATGGAGCCCCACATCTGGCTCCCTGCTCAGTGGGGAGCCTGCTTCTCCTTCCTCTTCCCCTCTCTCCCACTTATGCTCTCTTTCTCTCTCTCAATAAATAAAAATTAAAATAGATAGATAGATGGATAAAGGCACAGTGATTATTAATGGTGCAAGGTTCTGGGGTTAGAGTGCTTAATGTCTGGATCCAAACTATACCATGAGATAATTGTGTGATCTTCAACAAATTAGTTCTCAGTTTCCTCATTTGTGAAATGGAAATAACAATAATACTGACCTTACTGGGTTGCTGAAAGGCTTAAATAAGTAACAGTCCCTCAGACAAAATAAACATACTCAACAGGTATTAACTATATACATAGACACATTACATAAACTATATCTCATATACATTACATACTAGAATCCTGGAATCTATTTTTAAAATTAAATAAACATATATTCAATAAATTTTCCCTGTACTTATTTTATACCCTATTCTCAATTCAATTCTGTAGAATTCAAACTGTAGACACAGTTCCTCAGTGATGAGGGCATATATTCGTTTTTTAACCTTAAAGTTTAATCTTCATCTGTCTTATGACATATTTGTCACATTAACAGAGTGCTATTACTTTTATTACCTGCGTCTCTACACCCTGTTCCAGTAGGCGCTTAGCTTGATTTTCCACTTCAAGTCGAGCTCTTGCAATGAAAAGTAGATCATTTTCTATTACTTCTATTCCAGAAAGATCTATTCCTTGAGAAAGATAATCTATCAAAAAAAAAACAACACACATTTAAGTATTTTACTATTGAATAAATATCAAGGTACTGAAATACCATGTCTGATTCTTCAAAATACTATAGATTTGCTGTTGAACACTATTCCCTTTCAAAATCTGTATTTCAAAAAATATAAACATTTTCTATTTAATAAATAACTTTACTCTGCAGCAAAAATTCTAAATAAGATTGAGTTGATAAAGCAAGAATAGAAATTATAATTATAGTAAATTCCAAGTAATGTCAACACATTACATAAAAAATAGTGTGAAATTTATTTTAATATAAAGAAATATCCTGATCTTAGAAATCTTAGAAATCGTAGAAATTTCTCAAGCTGCAAGAAAGTTCTAAAAGTTATTCTATAGTAACAAAATATTTGAAACAAATGTCCACCATTTGAATAATAAATCATGAAAATAATTTAGCATGCTAGCACTTATCATGCTGTCAGTTTATAGGATTATGCAGACCTAATATCAACTTACATTGAGGGATTTTCATATCATTGAATAAAAAAATTTAAAAGAGGAATTAACTACTTATAGAATTAACATATTCTATTTATAGAATTATACAGAGCAAGAAGCATGAAAAGATCTCTATGAAGATGTTAACCGTAACTGTGCATACTTAGAATTTGAGAAAGTTATTTTTTATGTTTTTGTTTTTTTACTTCTCTTAGATATATCTAAGGTAACTAAAATGTTAAAACTAAAGGTCAAAATTTCAAGAGTAAGCAGCTTATTCAGTTCTAAAACTCTATTTTCTATTTTAAAAGAGAAATTATTTCTAAAAAACATAACTGCTTTAGATATAAGATTACTTTGTTTTCCAATTACTCAACAGAATATCAAATCTGTTTTTCACTATATTCTCTTAATTGGAAGTGATTTTTTAAGTCTTATTAAAATATATGCCGAGCACTTACATATTACCATTTTTTACTTAAGCAGAGTCACAGTCTACTACTTCAATGCTAACTAACCACTTTGTTACCTGTCCACTCCAATATCTACTGATTGAACACCGTATATATAGTTAGTGCTACACAAGATGACAAAAGGAAATGAAACGGAAGGGCAGCTGAACAGTGGTTATTGCTAATGGCACCTTAACCATGAGCATTTTTTTTAAATTTTATTTTATTATGTTATGTTAGTCACCATACATTACATCATTAGTTTTTGATGTAGTGTTCCATGATTCATTGTTTACGTATAACACCCAGTGCTCCATTCACTACGTGCCCTCCTTAATACCCATCACCAGGCTAACCCATTCCCCCACCCCCTTCCCTCTAAAACCCTCAGTTTGTTTCTCAGAGTCCATAGTCTCTCATGGTTCGTCTCCCCCTCTGATATCCCCCCTCCATTTTTCCCTTCCTACTATCTTTTTTTTTTTTTTAACATATAATGTATTATTTGTTTCAGAGGTACAGGTCTGTGATTCATCAGTCTTACACAATTCACAGTGCTCACCATAGCACATACCCTCCCCAATGTCCATCACCCAGCCACCCATCCCTCCCACCCCCCACCACTCCAGCAATTCTCCGTTTGTTTCCTGAGCTTAAGAATTCGTCGTATCAGTGAGATCATATGATACTTGTCTTTCTCTGATTGACTTATTTCGCTTAGCATAATACCCTCTAGTTCCAACCATGTCGTTGCAAATGGCAAGATTTCTTTTTTTGATGGCTGCATAATATTCCATTGTATATATATATATCACATCTTCTTTATCCATTCATCTGTCGATGGACATCTTGGCTCTTTCTATAGTTTGGCTATTGTGGACATTGCTGCTATAAACACTGGGGGCTCGTACCCCTTCGGATCCCTACTTTTGTATCTTTGGGGTAAATACCCAGTAGTGCAATTGCTGGGTCATAGGGTAGAACCATGAGCATTTTTGTTAAATGTATATAACTAAGGGGACTTTGGACTACCACATTGGAAAGAGTTTTGAAAAACCTTTAAATCATATGGGCTTAGGATTCTGCCTCATAATTTACTCACTAGGTCATCACAATCACAAGATAAGGCCTCACTGAGCCTCAATTTTTTCATCTGCAAATGTAAATGGAAAATGCCAACAGCATAGAAGTCATGCCCTACATAACTCTTAAGACTATCATCAGAATCAAAATAATTTAATGAATGCCAAAGTACTTTATACACCAATCTATTATGTAAATGTGGAATGGATTATAATACAAAAAGTTTTTTATCTGATTTTTTAATTTTAACTTTTATTTTTCAGAGAATTTTTTGAAAACTACATATGACTCCAGTCATGGTAATCATCAATGAGGAAATGCTATGTTTACCTTAAAACACTTACTAGACAATATAGAATCAAACTACAGACATGCACACAATAGAAAATAAGCATTATTTTCTTTTCAAGCCGGTTATCAATGTGTTTCTTTTTTTCTGTAACCTAAGGAGGAAATATATCACAACTAAGAAAAAAAAAAGGAGGGGAAAGACACTATGAATCTGCTTGGGTTCTATTTCTGCCATATATGTTTTTGAATATAAGTCTTGCCATCTTTGGTACCAGTTGCTTTATTTGAAAAATGAAGAGCTAGAGTATATCAACTTTAAGGTTCCTTTCAGTTATATATTTCTAGAGATAAAGCCAAAAGTTGCTTTATTCTTATGAATGCTGATCTGTCACTCTGGAAACAATTCAAATCATTCATACAAACCATTTATTGAGTATCAAACATTTATAAGTCACAGACCCCAAAGAAATTAGCCAGACTTAATTTCTCACCCCAAGTAGCAAAGTCTAAAAAAGGAAAACAAAGCACAAAGGTGCAACCACTGAAATATAAAGATAAAATGTATTACGCTAGGTGTTATGGGAACAAAAAGAAAGTAAATATTGTTTATCTTTTCATAAAGTCTACCATCTAGTAGGGGTGAAAGGAATATAAATGATTAATTCCAATAATTTTTTAAGGTAAACAGTGGCCCCATCACATTATCTAACCAACTCCTTCTCCCATTGCTCCATCCCATTCATCCACACTGTATACTCACTTAAAAAAATACAGCTACTCACTTTAAAAAATAACCAAAATACATACTAGATTTGGGATACAAAGGATTCTACTGGTTGGGAGGGAGAAAGAGCCCTATTATTCTCCTTACTGATTACGCCACAAACCAGGATTTCAATAAAAGAGATTAATTATAGAAAGGGGGGGTGGAAAACAACAGACAAAGTAGCAACCCCCCCACTCACCCAGCCAGGAGAATGGAGAGATTACACTAAATTCTCCCTTCTTGTTTAATTGTCCCATACAATCGCTATCAGTGTTTCAAGTCTTTTCACATCCGCTCTTTGTGAAACACATCTAGGAACTGGAACCAAGGACAAAAAGATGATGATGATTCCTGTAATCATAACTATAATTTTTGAACTTATAACATGTGGAAGGCATTAAACTGGACACAAAATGTTTATTATTTTAATGTATGCTTCCATTATTTGTAATATTCTAAACAACCTTGCTAGAAATATTATTGAATTATTAACAAATTCAGCTGGCTAGTAGGCAGCAAAGAATTTAAATCCAGATCTGACTTCCATCTTTTCACTAGATCATCCGAGGCCAATCCCACAAGCCTCAGAAAGAAGAAAACTTTATATTCAAAGGATAGATAGTATTCCTCCTATAGTATTCCAGTTTGCTCAGTGAAAGAATAAAAATGTAAAAATCTTATCAGAATTAACCGTTCGGGGAATTAAGACAGGTTGGAACAATGACAGCATTAAAAAACTCATATTTTGAGTTTAATAAAAAAAGAAAAAGGAAAATCTTTAAAATGTTACAAAATGTCCTAAAACGCCAAATTTTGAAATATGCCAGCATTAGTCACACTTTAACAATTAAACCTTAATAAATGTGGAGTACGCAGTCACTTACTACAAATACCTATTGAATCTTTTCATGTACAAAAATATGTATGAAGAAACTAACATGATCCTTTGGATTTAACATATCATCTCCTTAGATGCGAGAAAATAACGTGACTAATTTTGATGGAAAAGAAATGATACTGGTCATCTCTTTAATTACGCTGAGAAAAATTTAATCTAACATTAGAGAAAAAGGAATTCAACCAAAACATCTGACACAGGTATCAAGAGGATGGATAACACGATCATAAACAATTTTTTGTCAAATATACACAAGTCTTTGAAATTTAAGGTACTAAAAAATAAATTCTGGTTTCCCCTATTACCATTGTCCTGGTCTAAAACACTAAAACTTCAGAATAAACTTCATATGCTTTGCCCCCAGGCAGTCACTTGATCTCAGTGACTGGTTCTTATATTATTTCCTGGGACTACCTATTTCTTTTTATTTCTTTAGTCTTCAGACTAAACCAATACCTCAAGAGCATAAAAACTATTTATTACTAAGATATATGCCTGTCAGTTTAATAGACTTCCAGTGTTCTAATCAGTACTACACCTGGCTAGCAAAATAAATTTTCTCATGCTCCTCTCCCACTCATGGAATCTATGACTTTCTGTTAACTAACAATTTCTCTTTCTATTTTGCAACACAAATCTTCCTTATTGATTCCCAAATCCTCACTGCCTCTTCCTCTACCATCATCCTCCTTTGTTTAAAACAAACAAAAAGAAGAGTAATTGTAGTTTGTTAAATGATTCAGCTCTGCATTTACTTTCCATAAAAATGTTAGCACTAAATTATTGATTTGGAACGAAAGAGATGAGGGAAAAGTTCATGTGTAAAATTGGGATGGTTCTCAAAGTCAGAAGAAATGAAAGAGGCTAAATCTTCATGCTTCATTATAGAAAGCCAAAGAAGTTAAAAACTAAAAAGTGGAAACATGGGCAGGTTACTTAGATATGGAGGTAAATACCTTGAGAATCAGCAAAAATGTTGAAATGAATGCCTCTGGGGAAAAGTAAATGGTAAAGGCATTATTCTTTTTTTAA